CTATGCAGTAAGAGTATTTAAGATCTACTCTCTTAGCAAAAGTCACCATGCTGTACACTGTATCACCAGAATCTCCTCTTAACCAACAGAACTTACAGTTTAATAATCATATACTTGAAAAGAAGTATTAAGCAGTTCTTATAGCTCAGAGATAGATAATAAATGATACTCAGGAAATCATAAGAAATATAGACTAAATACATTGAGCGATGGTTTGAGAATTGTTGATGAATGATGGGCACATTGGAGTTAATTATATAGTACTTTACTTACTTTTGCATGTTTAAATTTTTCTAAAATTAAAAAATTATAAGTATTAATAGAAGACAATAAATGGTAGATATCAAGTGAATGGTATAGCCATGGATCACTCCAAGCTTCAAGTATCAGCACAAAGAAGGATGGGGCTGGGATACTAATCACATACACACATTCCAAGAGATGACCATTCTGGATGATTTCAAGATGTCTCCACCTTCTGGATAAGAATTTTTCCCCTCTACCCTGAGGTAGACAACAATAGGGGGAAAAGAGCTGAGAGTATAGCTCAATGGTAGAGCACTTTCCTAGCATGTGAGAAGCTCTTGGTTCCATTCCCAGCTTTGAAAACACACACACACACACACACACATACACACCCCTGTACTTTTTTTCATCAGACTATAAGAACTAAGAGAGTAGAGATTTTGTCTGATTTGTTGACCATGTGGCTGGCTCATTACACTGAGTACAAATATTAGAGGTATTTTAGAAGGAAAAGAGAATTCTAAGTTAGAACTTCAGTGTTTCAGTCCTCCTTCTGCATTACATTAGAAGTCTAACACCACTCAAGTAACAGGTCACTTAACCTCTTTCAGCCTCAGTTTTGTCTTCAGAAAGAAAGGGTTACATCCCTCCATAGTCCTTAAGACTACCACCTTAAATAACACATGTGAAAGCACTTTGGAAAGCACTATGCAATGTATTCTAATGTAACCTAGTAGCTGGGGATGTAGCTTAGTGTTAGAACATTTGTCTAGTGTGCACAATACCCTGGGGTTCAATCCCCAGCACTGGGGGAAAAAAATTCCCAAATGTAATTAGTACTCACTCAACTCTGTTGGTTCTTTCCTCAATCTTACCAAGAACTGTCATCCCTCTGTATTCCTGGGGGACTCGTTCCAGGACCTCCACAGTTACAAAATCTGCAGATGCTCAAGTCCCTCATATAAAATGGCATGATATTTGCATATAACCTACGCACATCCTCCTGTATATTTTAAATCCTCTCTATCTTACTTTTAATATTTAATTCAATGTAAATTTCATGTAAATAGTTGTTATACTATAATGTAACTTGTGGAATAATGACAAGAACAAAGTCTATACCTGTTCAGTACAATTTTATTTTTTTCTCTGAATGTTTTTGACCTGCCGTTGGCTTAATCTACAAATGCAGAACCCAAAACCATGAATACGTAGAACCAATTGTCTATTATAGCAAGCCTTCTATATTATGCCCCTAGTAGCACTCTGCTCACAACAGAAGTTTAAGAAATATTTACTCTTTTTTCATAATGCTGCCAACATAGCAATGCTGATGATGATGACTGAAAACAACTACTGATGAAGATAAGGTGATGGTCGCCTAATATCCAGCAAACCCGATTTTTAAATTTGAATGCATCCTTTAAGCCATGTCCTTTCTCCCTCTCTTCTTTCTGACATGTGGGGTGATGGTGCAAAGAGCCCTCCAGTCTAGCAGAGGCCCCTTTAAAAAATGTTCCCGGGCTCCTCCTCTGCCAACCAGGTTGCTAAAAATACTACTACAGCAAAAGCTGAAATATTTGCAGAGAAAACTGAATTTCCTGCTACCCCCACTCCCTCTACTAAATGGGTAAAATCCTGACCTAAGAAGCCCCCAGTCAGCTACCCCCACTCCCTCTACTAAATGGGTAAAATCCTGACCTAAGAAGCCCCCAGTCAGCTCCTCCTACTTTCCCACCCCCTTCTTATTTGGAGTCCCTCTGTGGGCTTGAGCTGGGATGTTATGTTCAGAAAGTGCCCACTCCAAAGAAAGGAAGCCATGAGTAAGTATTGGCAAATAGATTGTCACGTGCCTTGGCTTTTCTGTCTGCTTACTAGGACCAGCCCTCTCCAAATCCCCCTCCATCTGTCCCAAGGATCTGTATTGGACCACAGAAGCTTTGCAGTAATCCATATTTTATTCTTTCTTTTGTCTCCATCTCCTCTTCTGCCTGCCTTGGCTTCTATTCTTTACCTTCTACCTCCACGCTCCTACTGGTTCCAGCCCACGGCACTTACATGCCCCAGCTCCCTTCCTAACCCGGCCCTTCTGGAGCTTATCTCCTTTTCAGGCCTGCAACCCTTTTTCTTCAGTGGTTGTGGGGGCTGGCAAATATAGAGAAGAGTTCTCAAAACTGGAAGTGTCAAGAAGGACTACAGGATCCAAGTCCAGCTGGCTAATAGGTACCGCTCCAAAAGTTGGCCTGTGACACTCAGGATACAGGCCAGGCAGGCTACCCCAGAGAATGTTACCTGGATCACCATGCCAAAGACAATAACCAAGGGGAGCCAGGCTCAGGGATCCCATACTACACCTGTTCCTCTTCCTAGCTCATCTAATTTAGAATCACAGCCTCTGAGTCCCACCAGCTCACCTTGCTGACAACGTCCTGCCACCTAGTCCAAGACAGGGACTTCTCACTGAGTTTGGTGTTCACTCTAGCTCCGAGGCCATCAGTGGTCCAATCTGAGATGTCATCGTGTGGTGTGACATCCTGCTCAGGGTGTGCGTCTCTGTGGTTGCACGGAGTGTGTGTCTGTGCCTTTGACTCTAAGTATCTGTCATTTGCCTCTAGGTGTTTGAATTTTTTGAGTATCTGTCTTCTTGTTCTGGTCTCTGCTTCCTCTGTCTGTCTTCTCACCTCAGAGCCTGCCCATCCCCCAGGGCAAGCACTGTGGCCAGTTCTGCGTAGGCGCCTCAAGTGAGCTGTTGATGAAATGGTTGTTTTGTGGATGGAGCTGATAGTTGCTGTATCTGTTCTCCCATGGGTCCACCAGTATTTAGACATTCTCGCCCCACACCAAGGTGTCTTTCAGAAAGAGGGAAGGGCTATGCTGCCTGTGTGGGAGTTTAGGGGGAGGGAAGTGTTGTAAAGATACCCCCCTTTCAGCTCTGACCAGCAGGAAGAAGGGCCCAGAGGCAGCACAGCCTGCAGAGGAATGTTGCCTAGCAACTTGGGAGACTTTACTGCAAACTCACCAAATACTGAATTCCTTGGCTCTAATTTGGGAAGGGAAAAGCAGAGTCCAGGCCTCACATCCTCTCTCTTCCTCAATTTCCTCTTTCCCTCTTTTCTCTGGATTTTGGAACTGAAGTACAAGGGGAATTGGTATAACTTAAAGCTCCAGATGTGCCTATCATTTAGGCAAAGGCCTGAGTTCCCAGGACATCCTGCCATTTGGTGGAGGTGGGGGATGAAGGATGTGCCAGAGACAGATTGGGGAACAGATTTTTCAGTTACAGGGGTGGGTGGGTCCCAACATGCTGGGAGAGACACCCCTACACCCCAAGCCCTGGAATTCCAGCCAGCCTCCAGCTCAGCTTAGAGCCCCAAGCTGGTTAATCCTATCTCCATCCTGAGTGGACACTCATTTCCCCTCCCACTCATTTTTCTTTTGGTAAAAAAAAAAAAAAATCCAGCCCCAATATTTGGGTGGGAAGGAAGCATGTAACAGCCATGCTGTGAGTGGCCAATGACTATAGATTTATTAGAATGCTGTTCCAGGGTCTCCTGTCCCAACAGAGCCACAGTGCATTTTCCCCTCCTCTACTCTGAGCAGTAGTTCATCATTTTCTCCTTCCTCCCTTTGGGATCTTAGCTGAGAAAGACTTTCTAGTTTTCTCAGAGATGGTCCATCCTACCCACACAACATGTCACAATGCCAGCTCTGGTACCCTGACAAGCTCGGAAAGGTGGGCTACCACATAAGTAGCAAGCTGTCCCTGGGAGATGCTGCTTCCACATCTCCCCTTCCCAGCCTTGTTGAACACCATAGCCTTTCTCATCATGGACCCAAAGGGCCAATAATTTTTGACAATTCTGTATACTACTGGGTTTGGGGTATTTTTCTTCTTCCTAGGACCAAGGATGAGGGTAGTTAAATATTGTCTTATTTTGAAGCTATGGATCAAAAGGAGGAGTCTGGTATGAGGAGTGGAAAGGGGGTAAAAGGTGTTTCTTCAAAGTTTGTACCAATATACAAATACATACAAAACAGGTGTTGTATGTAGATGATTTTGTTTAATGCACAGTTGATAGATAACAGATGGTGAATGGATATATAGATAATACATACTGTAATCTAGACATCTTGAGTAGGGTGATTGTTATGTGTGTGTATACACAGTGCCATCACCCAAAACATAGGATGTCTGTATATATTTTACATCTGCACAGCTGTGCGTACGTACAAGGTCTGTGTAGTTGTTTTTGCAGGTTGTTTTGTGGTGTCTGTCTGTTGGAAGAAAGGCATATCTTAGTGAGCCTGGGGGAGTATCATATTTGTACCGGTGGGGCTTGTAAACTTTTGTGTTGTGTGCTCATCACCAGGTTGCGCACCAACACTCTTCACTGCATAGCAGGCTAGCAGGCGTGATGATGGGACTTTTTTTTTTTTTTTTGTCTTTGGAGCTTTTCTTTGCGGACTGGGGGGGAGGGAAGTTAGAAGAAGCCATATTTGGGGCTCTAGCTAGATTGTGGAAGTGTAGGGTGGTGGGTAGGGGGTTTGTGGTTTTCTATCTATGGCCAGGAAGGCGTGATGTGCCCAGATGTGTGTCTGTGCTCGGAATGTCGGGGGCCTCCTTCTGCCTACTCCGGCAAACATCTGCCTGGCAGTCCAAGGTTTAGCAAGCAAGGGGATTGAATTTGGGAGGGTGGGGTGTGTAGGTGGAATGGATGGAAGTGAGTAGGCGGAGGGGTAAGCGAAGGAGCCAGAGCAAGGCGGAGAGAACCGACAGAGCGGAGAGAGGGAGTGGTCCTCCTTCCAGTTCTCCCCGCCCACCCTGCTGAAGGCGTCTCCTGATTGGCTTCACGACAGCAGGGCTCAGGTTACATTCGCGAGCGGAGCTGAGCGCGGGAGACCGGACCTGAGAGGAGAGCTGCTGGTTCTGCGCGGGTCCGCCGGCCTCGGACAGCCCAAGAGCTGCCACCCAACATCACACAGACCCCCCCACCCCCGCCCTGCGCCAGGCTCCACCCCAGCCAAGGACCCCCCAACACTAGCATGGACTGCTGCACGGTAAGTCAGAGGGCCTGGGGAACTGGCACTCAGCTTGGTCTGGGGCAAAGAGAGCTCGAGAACCACCTGCAGGGTGAGTGAAGGATGGAAGTGGGTGCGGAAGACCTAGGAGGACGCCTGCTGAGACGTGGGTGATGGGTGATGGGTGATGGAAGGCGCTCGCCTCACTCGAAAGCCCTAGGGAAAAAATGCTCCCCAACTAGCGGGGGGCGTCTGAGCGCCTATCCGCCAAGCAGTCTAGGTTGGACTTCCAGCTGGGCAGGGCTTTGCAGCAGAGAAACTGCAGGTTAGACGACAGGAGGAACTTCCTCCTGTGAGACGCTGAAAATCGTCGCCTAGCGAAGCTGCGGCGAATTCTCTCCTCTGGCATTTGTCCTCTATACCATATAATAGCCCACTGGCACTGTTGTCGGTGGGTGGACATACTGATCTTTCCGATCCTCGGAAGATCGCCTAAGTCCCTGCACAATGTAGATGGAGGTAATCGGTCCATACTGGTCTTAGTAGTGAGGATGGGCAGCAAAAAGCCTAGTCAGTGTGGTTCTGGAGAGGAGTTGGCCCGGCCCCCAAAGCCTTCTCACTCTGAGGGGGCTGGGTGAAGTGACCGCGAGAGAGCCCTGCTGGCTAGGAAAGGAAGCGTCTGCAATTTGTCAGCGCCCACACGGAGACCAGGATGCAGCAAGTGCCTAATGCAAAAGTAGATTACTGTTAAGGTGACCCTGTATGCAAGCACCCGGCACAGGACCTGACTCCTGGTCACTAGAGGAGTACAGTGATCATGCGCATAGAAATTTATTTTATCTATTTATTTTATCTATTTTATTTATTTATTGTATTCTATCAATTGATTTGTCCTCTCCCCACCCCATAGTGTACAAAAAGGTGAGGGGAATGAGCTTGGGAATTAAAGAATACCCCAGTTCTGTAAGAGGTGAGACTTTGTCTGGATATCAAGAGGCTGAAAGAACTTAGAAGCAAGTCATAGTTGTGATTTTAACTCTTATTAGTATCCATAATAACTGCCAGTTTGTGATTGCTCACCATAACCTTACATTTTATATTTAATCATCACAACTCTGTGAGGTAGATATTATTTCACAGATGTGCATATTGAGGCTTCAAGAAATTATTTTCCCAAGGAGGCAGCGCTCCTGGATATGGAGACAGGATTCAAGCAGAGCCTTTTTTCATTCAAATAGCTATACATTAACCTCTCCTCCAACTATATTGTCTTTTCCTCATTATAAAAGCAACATGCACATAATAGTAAATATAAAGAACAGAGAAAGTATAAAAAGAAACATGTCAATCACATACAGTCCTGCCCCTTGGAGAACACTGATAACATCGTTTTCCCTTTGCTTGTTATTCTTCAGGGACTTATTTATTTTTGTATTTACTGTGCTGGGGTTTGAACCTAGGGCCTCCTTCATGCTAAGTATGGCTTTCCCACTGAACTCCATCCCCAGATCAAGAAACAATTTTTTTGGTTGTGAAAGGAGAAATGGAGGTTTCTGGGATCCACTGAGGAAGAACCTCTCAACCCGCAATGTTTTATAAAGTAAAGTAAATAAATGAATGAATCGTGAATTCAGAGATCTGAGTGAGTGGGGGAAGGGTATTGCTGAGCACGAAGGAATAAGATGAGAAGATCCAAATGATAGGGAAAGGAAAGCAGGAGGCACGGTCAGTGGAAAGAACAAAGAATCCAAGAAGGCAGGGAAGGAATGTAGCCTGTCACCTCCTGTGTCTGCAGGAGTAATAAGGGAGGGGTGTGGAGTCCACCTGAAGGCCCTGGTCAGCCCTGGGTGGTGCTTGTGAGTGCCCAGGAAGCCATTTGTGTAGGGCAAATAGCTAGCTAGGTAACAGATGACAGGTGTTGATAGATAACATCTAAGGGACTAGTAGACAGGGTTGCATTCAGTGTCTCCTAAAAAAAAGGAAAGGACACCCACCCAAAAAACATGAAGGTGGCAGATACACTGATCCCAGTGACCCAGGCTCTGGGGCACCTCTTCCAGTGCACCCTGTACACAGGAACTTTCCTTTTTCATGTCTTAGGTTTTCAGGGCCAAAGGAACGAGCAAGAACAGGCACCATTCTTGGACTGTGCAGGACAACAGGAAGTGGGAAAGGGGACGGACGCTGAGGTGAAGGGTTAGGGAAGGATGGGGCTGGGGCCAGACATTTTCCTACCCAATTCTTTGGAGGTCTGGGCTCAATGCTAGGAGGGAGCTGTGATATGTACAGAAAGCAGTCAGTGTGCCTCTTCATTTTTCATTCTGGAACTCCTCCATGACCACTTCACCTGGTCACCTGGTCTTTAGGAAGACCACTAGCCTTCCTCCTTCTTTCTTCTTGGTCACGAGGCTGATACACAAATGGCAGGGGGCGGGGGGACAGGACAGATCTCCTTATTTTTTTAAATCATATATATATATATATATATATATATGATTTTCCTGCATTCATTTACTATGAAAAAGCAGAGGAACATATTTTGGATCCTACTCCTTTCTTTTGCTTGGTCTAGTCAACCTGGTCCAGCTGAATTCATAAAATGATTGCCTGCCTTGAATCAGATCATTACATTGTTTATCAACTGTGCAACCTCAGGGAAGTTACAAAATATCTCTGAGACTCTTCCCAGACTTCCAAAATGGGGATTGAATAGGTAAAATGTGCAGTGTTGAGCACAGGAACTGACACATAATAAGCACCCAACAGGAATAATTCTTATAGTTATTAGGATTTGGGAGCTCAAGGAGACTTTATTCATCTCAGCCAAGTTTTAGTTGTGGCTGAAAATAAAATAAGGTTCCTAGAGGGAAAATGATGTGCCCAGTGGGACTAGAAACCATGGCTCCACCTTCACATCTCCTGCTAAATGTCACCCAGTTCATACAGAGTTCTCCGGGACACACCATCAGTCTTGACTTTGGAAGGCACCCGCTTACTGTGACCAATGAGCCTTTTTCCCTATTCCTACTACTCTCCCTGCAGATCTGTGAACAGATCTGGAACAGGCCACCTCAAAGCTAGCTCTATCCTGAGAACTCAGCTTGAGGGAGAGGGAGCTGATTCTGGGGGTAGGTTTCCATTTTGGATCCAGCTGGGGTGGGTGGAGACAGCAGGTGGGGTCTTGGGAGACTGGAGAAAGATACCCTTGCTCCACTCAACTTCCCCACGCCTCCATGACTGCCAAGGCCCAAGAGCCTAGTGGGCTGGATTTTTTTTTTAATAGTTGTTGCCCCCTTTTGAAAAGAAGTCTCTCTGTTCCCAGAGAATATTCCAAGAAAGACTTGAACTCTGAGAATCAAAGAACCCAAAGGAGTTGTTTTAGATTTTATGTGAATTAAAAAATAAAAGGTCAGGGAGAGATTGAGACTTAGGAAAAGACAAAAAAGAGGGCCCCTCTACACAATATCAGCCGCCTGGTAACTCCTTGAAATTGTATTTATATCCATGGATTGTGAACATCTCAGCACAAATTGAAGAACCATGAAAGCCCACAAAATGAGGACAGCCTGGGAAATCCTGGCAAGGGCATCCAGAATTTAAACCTGTACTCCTGGGTCAACCTGTCTGGGACAGTGATCATTGAAGCCTCACTTCTAAGACTAGATAACTGACCAGAAGCGGGCAGGAGTAGAACTGAGTTACCATTTTTATGTGAGACCTTGGTCAGCTACTGTCTGAGAAGAAAAAGAGAGTAAAAGCAATGCATGTCCTCAGACACATTCCTAGAAGCCATGGGGCCAAAACAAAGGAGAAATGGTCTTCTAACTTGCCAGTAATCATCATCATCCCAGTCCACACTGATGCCATAAGTCATGTTAAGCCACAAAGGGGCCAAATGCTGAGACTTTCTCTATTCCAGCCTAACCACTGAAATTCATTATATCAATTCCTTAATTCTTTCTACTGTCAGCTAGGGCAGGCCATGAGAGAGACAGAAACCTACTTTGGGTATGGGATGGTCAGATTACAGTTACACATTCCATAATGATGGTAACATGTTCTGAAAAATGTGTCATTTGAATTGTGCAAACAATATATAGTATAATTACCCCAATGAAGATAATTATGACAACATTAAATGATATAATCTTATAGTATCATCATTATATATGAGATCTGTCATTGACCAAAACATTATGTGGCTTGTATTTGTATATTAGAATGAACTTTGTAAAATTGTTATTATATAACCACTTTTGGCATACAGAAGCAATTATTTTGCATCAATATAATATTATATAAAACAATCATAATATATAGCTATCATTTATTGAGCAACTAGTCTGTGCCAGAAACTTTATGCATATCATGCTATTTATTCTTCCCCACAACCCATAGAGGTGGATATTATTATCCTGGTTTTTCAGATGAAGGAACTAAGAAAAGATTAGATAACTTGCCCAAGACAACACAGTTACAGCATGTGGTAGAGCCTTGGTTTGCTTTCTGGGTTGCATCTGCTTATCCTAAGTGGGGGTTAGAAATGCACTCTAGACCCTGATATACAAAGGTTCAAATTTTTGGTCCATTGATAACTTTCTGTATGACAGCAGATAGGTTTTTTCTTTGTTTGTTGCTTTTTTGTTTCACCAGATAGGTTTTTAAACCAATCGCCAGTTTTATCATAATAAACTGGGGTAATAATAAAAAGATATGTCGTTGCTTTATTTTTGAAAGCTAAATAAAATAATGCTTGTAAAACACTGTATTATTGCACCTGGAACAACATATGTGCATAAATGGTAGCTATTGTCCTAATTACTTTCTTCCAATGAGCACACCAAGGAAAGGGCTTCTTGCTCCTGCTGATCTTTTCCTTGTTTTTTTGTTTTGTTTTGTTTTGTTTTTTTAAGTGATAGATTTTGTCTGTCACTTATTCTGAGACTCCAGGTTGTGAGGTCAACCTGGGGAACAGTGGGAAAGTGAAGAGTCCATGGGAAAATAGTCTCTTGGCCTCTAACCCATATGCGGGGGTAGAGGGGAGGCTGATTCACTGAGCTTTGGCCCCATGCTCTCCCTAATTCCAGCTGAGCTCTGGTACTGTTCTACTCAGGAAAAGGCTGTCCTGGTGAATCTTACGTACCCAATCACCAGAAAATCCTAGGCTGGGAAGGGCCCCTTCTGAACTGGAGGCAGCCGTTAAAAGCAGGGGAATGGGTGGCCACATCCAGGAATGCCTGTTTACTTTGCTCCTCCAAACTCGCGGTCCACTCAATTCTGCAGCGCCCCTAAATTGGCCACTGGTAATGGGCCCTTGGCTCACTCCGGGCTGTCTGGATTTCTTGTACCCCATCCCACCATGTATTTCTTTCCTGAGGTGAGTGCACAACTATGCCCACATCATAGCCCTGAACCTTCCTCTTTTCGTTGCCCAGGGAGAAACACACCAGTGTGGCTTCCCTCTCTTCCACATCCTCTCAATCCCCCGAGACTCTGGTCCTAACCTACCCTCTCTGGGTCTCCGACCTGACCCGCCAGTAAGAACCCCTTCCCCTTCCCTCCCCAGGAGAGCGCCTGCTCCAAGCCGGACGACGACATTCTAGACATCCCACTGGACGATCCTGGTGCCAATGCGGCCGCTGCCAAAATCCAGGCGAGTTTCCGGGGCCATATGGCGCGGAAGAAGATAAAGAGCGGAGAGCACGGCCGGAAGGGCCCGGGTCCTGGGGGACCGGGCGGAGCTGGGGGCGCCCGGGGAGGCGCGGGCGGCGGCCCCAGCGGAGACTAAGCCAGGTGAGGCTGGCTGGAGGGGCGCTGCCAGCTGGAGACCCCTCTTTCCCAACGCTCCTAGGAAGGAGCAAGGGAAGACTAAGGGCGTGCTGAAGGTAGAGAAAGGTGTGGAAGGAGCTGGGGGTGGGGAGTAGAAATCCGCCAGGTGAGGTGGGTTGGAGGAGGCTAAAGGTGCTGAGATTTCCGAGAACTCACCTGTTTCTCCCTCTCCCCCCTGCCTTCTGCCCCGCCCTGGACTGAAGAAGAAATGAACATTTTAGAAGGTAACGAATACGACCCAAGCAGAGAGGTTTTGGGGAATGCTAAGTGGGAGAAGAGGACCATTTTCCCAACCCTTCCTCTGTCCGCCTTCACTCACTCCCAACCGGGGAACTTGCACCCAGGGAGAAACACACCAGTGTGGCTTTCCTCTCTTCCACATTTGCTACCCCAGTAGTCCTCCGACTCATTGAGATGCCTGAGGCTGCGACAGGGTCACACCTGGATTAACGCAAACACGCAGTCACCCTCATTTGGCCGCACAAGCCAGGCCGAGGGCTATAAACACACCCGGTCTCACTCACGTATCTTTCTCGGGGCTCATTTCAGCTCATTGACTCAGTGGGGGGGGGGGGTCTGAGTGACTAGGGACCCCTGGTAGCCTTGTTCAGAAAGGTAGAAGGGACGGGGAGAGTAAATTCCAGGAGAGGGCAGGTTCTCAGACCTTCTCTTTCCTCAGTTCCCAAGGAGAGATGGATGCCGTGTCCCCTTCGCAGTGACGAGACTTCCCTACCGTGTTTGTGATCCCCTCCTCCCCACCAGCCTGCCAGCTTCTGGAGCCCCCCTGCGTCCCAGAGACTCTTTCTTCCAGGCAGGCTTCCTCGCGGAGTTGCCAAGTCCGTGCCCTTTTAGTTAGCCCTCCAGTCTAGCGTGGTCCCTGTTCGCCCTTCCTCCCCATCCGATCCCCAAACCCCGCACTCCCAAATTTTCCTCCTTTTGCTTCTCGCCCACCTCTCCCCGCACCCAGCATGCAGCTCTGCCTCCGCAGCCTCTGTGCGCTTCCCTGCGCGCACTGCGGAGGGCGCCCTAAGCGTCGCCCAAGTACACTCAATTTAAAAAAATAATAACAGTCCTTTGGTTCTGTGCGCAGCGATAGGGGGCGCCCTGCGTCTCTGTGCGATTCCCGCCCCAGCCTAGCCTCAGAACTTTAAATCTGGGACATGAGGAAGGGAGAAAAGTGTTTACATGGTTTCGGATGCCCCTTGCTCTGATCGGAAGGGAAGTCCCTATCCCGCACCTGCCTGTCATGTTCCCTTCCTTCTCCCCAGCGCACCCTGAGAGCGGCCTCTCCAGCTCTCCTGTTTACGCAAACGCCGAGCGCCTGGAGGCTCGGTAGGAGGAGTCTTCCGCGGCCCCGCCCCTGCCCCTTCCGGCTTCGGCCCCGCCGGGCTCCTGGGGTTGTGGCCGGAAGGTTTTTAATCTCGGTGTGTGCATGTGACCGTTCTGGGTTGGAATGTGAACAATAAAGAGGAATGTCCAAGTGTTCAGAGGGTGCCGGGAGGGGAGGGAGTTTGGGTGCACAAGGCCACCGGTTGGAGCCTGAACAAATCTCATTTGATCAAGCCAAAAAGCAGAGGGGAAGTGAGATGGAGAAACCCTTAGATTGAAATCTGCCCTTTGACGCAACCAAACTTCCTGCTTATAGCATTATCTCTGGGATTTAAAGCCCAATCCTTCCTTTACTAGTAATACTCTTTGGGCCGCCTAGAGAAATTCGCCAGAGACAATATGGTACCCAAAGGTTTTAATTATTGATCTTCCCCCTCACTGCCCTCAGGGATCAGAAGTCAGACAACCATAGGGAGCTTGGACTTCGTGGTCGTCACAGTACTGGTAGATGGGGACCTTTCAAGGAGCCCTTTGCTAGAATCCACCTTCATAGAAGATTGCTCAAAAATCCCAGGAGCCGTGGCATCCTCCCTGATGGATATAAGCAAATTTTTACTGAAGTTAGAAGCAACCTCCAGACAGATGCTGTCTTGTAACCCAGGAACTTTTACATTTTACTATTCCTGAGAATTGTTTGTGGAACTTTTGGTTAAAATGAAAATTCCAGGGCCTGTCTCCCCCAACACACACACACACACTCACCCAGAAATTTTACTGTAAGAGGGATAGAAAATGACCTGAAACTGAATGTTTAATAAGTTCCTGGTGATACTTTTTTAGGTAACCTGAGGACCACATTTGAAGAAATTTTGCTCTGATTCCTATTCTGGTCCAGCTAAAGTGGAGGACAGAGGAAGCTTTGGCCTCTTTTCCTGATTGCCCCACACAGAACTAAACTCAGCTAAGTGATCAGGATAAATCCAATACATTTAAAATACACACAAACACACGCCTTAAAAACAGAAGAGTAAACATTTTTAAATTTGAGAAGGGTTCAGGCTGTCCTGTAAACTGAGTCATCCATGTCCCAACTTGTAAACTAACTCTTTCACCCTGTACACATTGTTCACACACACACTCATGCATAGGTTATATTGCATCTGCCACCACTAAATACCAGGAATGAGCAGTAATCCCTACCCCCTAACACTTCTAACAGTGTCAGAATTTGAGGGCTAAAGGTTCCACTTTCAACCCAAACCCTTTTCTCCCTCTCTGCACCACCCTCTAGCCCTCCTGCTCACCGAAGTTCACTACCCCCATATGTCTCCTTGGGCTTCTTCTTCCTCTCTTTCTGGAATCTGATTAAACAGAATGCAGCAACTGACAGGAGCAACACACCCAGGAGCACCCCAATCAGAGTTCCAGCCACTCGACCTTTGGAGGAATCTAAGAAGACATAAGGCCCTCAGAGCTTCAGAACTTCTTGACTCATCCTCAGACCACTTTATGCAGCCTCCCCAACCCAAGCCTTTCAGTCTGGCCTTTGCTGAGCATTCCCTACCGGTCACAGAGAGGGTCAGCTCACAGGATGAACTGCCCATCTGGTTGGTGGCCACACAGCGGTAGGTGCCCGAGGAGGTCAGGGAGAGATTGGTGAGAATGAGCTGGCCAGATACCTCATCTAGAGGGAAAAAAGGAAGTGTGTCACCTCAGTCAACTGGATGAGCACCTACTATGAGGAAAGCTCATTCATTTTATCCTTACAGCAGTCCTGCTAAAGAGGAACAACTTGATACCATTGGTGAGAAATCAGACTCAGAAAGTAAATAATTTCTAGAGAGTAATTCCAAAGCCACTTTAACTTATGGGCTCTTTCCACCTCACATAATTACCTTTTTAGGCTTAGGGAGACTGCACAAACATGAAGGTGGTGGAATTGAAGTTGGATTCTTACTGGCTAAGGTCAGGTTCCTGGTTGGGGGTAAAAAGGATTAATTGCTAAAAACTGTATCCTCTGGGGTGGCTCTAAACTGATCCAAGTGTTTTTCTAAACTCTTGCTTTAGAAGACAGAACACACATCAAGAAGTGATGGGGGGGGGGGCGGTCCTGGATTGATAAAGGTGTTTGCAGGAGCTGGGGCTATTAGGAGAGATCTGGCAACTAGAGAAAACTGAGAAGCTAAGGCTTTTAGCTATATGGCTCTTCCAAAGATACCAGCTAAAATGATTCAAGCCAGCCCATTCCACTCTGCTTCAGTTTCTTCTCTAGGAAGTTTGGAAGTGATTCATGACCCTTTAGAAAATCTCCCAAAAGTAGACAAGTAGGAATCATAAGAATGCCCCTTGCTCTCTACTCTCTTTCAGGATATCAGGAAAATATTTAATTTGAGAAATAACTCCCAGGAATGCAGCCACAGGCTGCAGAAGACAGACGGAAAGGGAATAATATAGGGACGAGACATGGAAAAGGTAGAGTGGTTTGTCTCATCCTCAATAGTCATAGAACTGGTAATGTGGGTATATGGGATTTAGAGACCACATTTGTGCAGGTGTGCAGTTCCCTCTTTGAGTCCCTGGGCCCTTACCTTGAACCATGCTACCAGGAGAAGGTGTAGGAGAAGATCCAAGGCGTACCCAGTTGTACACTGGCTTCGGAGCTCCCTCAGAAGAGTAGCATCTCAGTTCAGTAGAGCCCCCCACAAAGGATGGCCCATTCTGAGTGCATAAGGGGTTACTGGGGGATACTGCAAAAATCACAGAAGTACTTCAGCAATCTTCTAATCTCACACCAACTAAGTGCTACATTTCCTGATTTAATACCCCTGCCAAATAATGGTCCATTTCTCTCCACACACCACTGCATCCCCAGGAAGTGATTTCTACTATTGGAAATTTTGAGTATTTTAAAGGTCTTCCTCATGTTGAGCCAAAGTCCATGTTAATAATATCTACCCTTTGATTCCAGTTCCTTTGGGCCCACAGTGAGAAATTAAAATCTCTCCTCCACCATGACAGTCCTTCAGATATTTGAATATAGCAGTCACACAACATCTCCTTGGTCTTATCTTTTCCATCTAAACATCTCTTGCCTCTAATAGTTTCTTTTGATTGCTCATCTCTGACCAGGCTGTGATTTGGGGCGAGATGGAATTTCTGAACACAAAGTGGTGCACAGTGATAGGGGACTTCTTCCTTTCATGGCTACCCTCCTTCTCTGCCACTGACTATTGGGAGGGACAGAATCCAAATCTGAACTATCAGTGGGAGGTTCCTGGCTAATGGAGCTGATAGGGGTATGACTCAGACCCCATATAAGGGAAGGGCTTTTTCTCTCAGACCCTTTGTTACTAGGGCCCTAAGGGAGGAGACATTGTGGAGGGCAGAATTAGAGTATGACTGACTATACAGATTAGAAGTCTTCAGAAGGGGGATTTTTTTTTTAAGGTCCCCAGTGCAGTTGTGTCCTTCAGCTGGAAATCAGGATATGGGGAGAGTTAACAGGGCCTGTACACACTTTCAGAGTACACGGTTAACTGGTGGGTCCCCAGTTGGCCTTACCCAGCACAGTAAGGTTGATTAACCCCAACCCATTGGTGTAGAAATCTGGTGGATTGTTAACATGACAGAGATAGGTTCCAGTATCTGAGGGGCGGACATCAGTCAATCTCAGGGAGGCCACCCCTCTTGTGGGGGGATTCTGAAGTAGACTGGCCCGTTCAGCCTTAGAACCAGTGGGATACAGATGGCCATTGGTGAAGTACAGGATCTGAGAAGAGGCAAAAGACATACATATGTTCCCCTTTCTCTCTGGCACCCATTCCACAGTGCTTCCACATGGAAGTGGGAATAAGTCCACTCACTTGAACTAGTAGTGGAGGAGGTTGCTACTCTGTAGCCTGAACTATTAAGGGAAAACATCAATGTATCCTATTAATCAGCAACACCTCAGCCTCAATGGGTTCAGTAATTCCAACTGGGACTTCACTAACAAGGGGTTTTAATATAGCCATGGGAGAGGTAAGGATAATATAGGGTCACACAGACTGAGAAGATCTAGCAAGAGCCCACTTACCTTTTCATCCAAGCAATACTGATCCCCAAATGTACCCCCACCCCAAGCCCTCATTCTTCCTGGCCAACCCCACTGGGGTCACAGTGGCTCTCAGCTCACGGGATGGGATGTAGAGATGGGCTTTCCAGGCTGCACAAAGCTCCACTCCAGGGCGAAGTTGTCTCCCACTGATGTGCTGTAACTGCAGCTCAACTCAGCAGTCTTGCCCACGGGCGCACTCAGGGGCTCAGTGGGTACCTTCACCTCCACAGCTATCCCTGGGGCTGAGGATGGAGAGGGAGGCAGAACCACAATCCTGGTGATCTGGAAGGTCTGGCCTATATTTCAGTGTCTACATCAAGAGCTGGGGGCTCTCTCCCCACAGTGCACTCTTCTCAAGCCAATCCCTCCTTTCTTCTTGAAACCTGATGTTTCCGGGAGGGAGGTGCCCACAGCCCAGCCGGAGTTTTGTGGGTAAAAGGGCCAAGACTGGGCCAGGTATGAGGATGTATTGGCGGAGAAAAGAAGACAATAGCCCTGCTGTGGTTAAGGAATGCCGCCTGGTGCTCCCCTCTCCTCTGCCCTGGTGGCCCTCAACCCCTGCCTGGATCAGCCGGCTCCGCCTTAGCCCCAGAAGCAGCCCTAGCCCACACCGCAGGGACTGAGCAGTCCTTAAAGAGCCCACCCCCACCTCTCGCTGAGGCTTCTCCTCACCACTCAGGCACACAAAGCCCAGCAGAGCCCAGCAGAGGAAAGGCCCCGCAGGGAGCCCAGTCACGGCCACCTCCAGCTGTCCTGCCATGCGTTGGTCTGTCTTGGTGTCGGGGTCTGAGGAAGGGAAGGTAGTGCCCAGCGGGTAGCCTTGTCGTGCCTGGCAGGAGCCAAACTGACTATCTCAGAGCAAACAAGGGGAGAGGCTGGCACCTTCAGGTAGAGAAATGCTCCTCCCTCCTCCAGGCCAACTCTGAAATCACTGTAGCCCTCCTTCCTTTTCCTTCCTCTTCCCTCAGTTTCTGAAGCTGTCAGGCCCTGGTAAAAGAACCGGGCTTTGGGTGGGTACCCTGAGGGCCAGGGCTCAGAACTGGAGCTCTGCAGGAAAAGATTGTCTTTGGAGGAAGAGGAGGCAATCTAACACTGGGACTTGGCAAATACTTCACCAACATGGGCTCTTGCAGTGAGCATGTAATTCGGGCTTAGACCCTTTCTGACCCCTTCAGAGATTCTTGTTCCTCCAAAAATTCTTCTGTTCACCACTTGCCGGAGTAAGAGTCTCCATAAGTCACACCCACCTCCCCATTCCCAGAGCCCCTCCATTGTACAGAGAAACTGAGACCTAGAGGCTCTCTCCATTGTTAGGAAAGAACACGGCAGAATTTTGACATGTATCTGCACCACATTCTACACTCAGCTCTCCCTCAGTAACAAGAGGGACTGCTACACCATAGGCAAGAGATGTGTTTGTTAAGGATCCCATTGTGTGAGAGAAGGAAGCACAAAGGAGGTTCCCCTCCCCAGCCCCATTGAGGAAGAAGAGAGGAAACGCATGCATCCCCAAACCAGGACCATCAGAACTCCAGCAGAAAGCGTACCCTTCGTTTTCATTCCCTTACTGCTCAGACTGGATTAAGGAATTGGGTGCTTTCTCTTTACATATGACAGCAAATGACCTTTCTAAACACTCTAGAATAGAGATATCCCAAGCCAGTAAATTCAGGCTATATGGAGAAGCTTCCTGCTTCCACAGCCTGGTTAGGTTCCACTTTGCATCCTCCTGAAGCTCAACTCCTGAGAATTCCCAATTGGAAAGGATATGTGATTCTTATTTCATATAAACACAGTGTATATTTATTGAAATTTGAAAAACAAAAACACACATTGCAAGTTAGTTTTTAAAATGTCTTTCATATTCCCTGCCCCAACAAATCCAACCAAGACAGCACAACAGTTTGTATCAATGCAGGGAGCTGGAGTGGCAGCAAGGGATGGCAGTTAGATAGGGGTGGGTTACAAATCATCAGGCTGCCTGCGGCCTCTTTGACTGGCAGTCTCCTCCTCCAGGGCCCTTGGAGGGTAGCCAATCTCAGCAGCATTCAGCTTGCTTCATAGGAAGAAGTGGGGGAGGGGTAAAGTTTCCCCTCAATCCCATCCTAGGTTCACTTCCTCTTTTATTTATACTTTTTTTTTTCTTTTGATCTTCTGGACATTTGGATCTTCCTGAGACCCAATTTTGCTATAGTAAAGAGGTAGGAGCAGAGGACTGGAGGTCTGGAGTATGGCTATCTTCCCAAGACTCAGGCCTCTGTCAGTGCTAAGGGTAACTCTTATAGGAAAGAGAGACACCAGATTGTTTACCCTTGAGTGCCATCACACCAGAGACCCAGCCTGATTCTGCATAGGCACTACTATGGGCACAGCACCCACGTGATTCATGGTAGAGGAAGAAACCCCACCAGGGATAATGGATACTGGCTGAGGGTGGGCCCCATTTGTTCTGGGTAGTCTTGGTGAAGATAGGGCCTGGCTGGAGAGACTAGGTGTAGGGGTCATTGCACCAGGCCTGGGAGAGGCATGGGATGATCGGAGGGCTCGTGCTGAGGTAACAGACGAAAGAGTCCCATTTTTAGAGATTGTGTCTGAGCTCTTGGGCCAGGGCAGAGTCCGGGGAGCAGTGGCATCCTCCCTAGTCATCAAAGAAGTAAAAATACATTACAAGCAGAAAGGAAAAGAAAAGAAGGTTTCTATATGTTTTGTCTTTTTATCTCCACAAATGCAGACTTCAACTCTCTTTTCCTTCTCCCATAAAATCTGCCCCTAGGAAAGATGATCTGCCCACCCTTCTATACTATGAGACTCAAACTCTGTGAGGGAAGTTAGAAGAGCCTCCATCCCTGCAAAGATCAGGGACACTTACTTGATATCATTGGCCAGCTCCTCTGGGGCCTTGCCCCTGCGTTGGTACAAGAGGACCAGCCCAGCAAGCAGCATCAGTCCAACCAGGCTGCCCACAACTGCTCCAGCAACCACAGCAGCCCTGGGTCCTGGAAAAGCCTTGGTGTCAGAAAGGAACACTCATCTGTCCCCTACCCTTCAATTCTACTACCCCACTGCCACCAGATACATTCTTTTTTCCTGTTAAAAAGAGAAGGCACTGTCAAGCAGAAAATGGCCAGTCACTGCACAAACATTTGTAGGAAACTTTGACCAGGGCAAGCTCCCTGTCCTGTTACAATGAAAAGCCTCAGCTAACAGGCTTTCTCCCACTTGCAAACCCACCCCCACCACTGACCACTCTTCTTAACCACACTTACCCCTCACTGACCTGTGCTCACTTCCAGAGTAACATTGCACATGGCACTGCCCAAAAGATTGTGGGCTTTGCAGATATAGACTCCAGACATGGAAGTGGAAAGGTTGGTAAGGCTTAAAGACCCACGGATGTCATCTGTAGATACAATTTTGCCATCAGTTCAGTGACTTTTTTTTTTTTTTCACATGTGAAAAAGAAACAAAAAGTCCTGCCCTTTCTCTAGTATGTCCTCTTTGACTCTCTGGGACTCCTATCTGTTCTCTGATGGAAGGGAAAAGTGTGACAGCTCCCAGTTACAGACCAGCTAGTTCAATATCCCTCTCCATTTCTGCTCCTCAGTACCCCCAACTGTTATCTGAAAGGAAGTGATATATAGAAAAACCCCAAACACCATTTTTACTTTTATTTCTGAAAAGCAATGTGATGACAGAAAAAGAAGGCTAGGAACTAGAATACCTAAGATCCAGAATAGGCCATGTGACCTTAAGCAAGTTACTTTAAATCCCCATGTCCCCATTTCTTCATCTGTAAAATTGGGATAATATGATCTAGCTGGTGATGTTGAAATGATTACATGGGCTAATTATTTTAATAACTAATATTTATTGACTATTTATTCTACGCAAAAAACCACTCTAAGTTTTTTACATGTACTAACTTACCAAAATTTCACAACAAATTTGTGAGGTAAACACTATTTTTAAAAAAAATCTTTTTTGGTTGTAGTTGGACACAATACCTTTATTTTAATTATTTCTTTTTATGCGGTGCTGAGGATTGAACCCAGTGCCTCACACTCTACAGTGGTAGAGCTAGGCAAGTGCTCTACCACTGAGCCACAACCACAGCTCCAAGGTAAGTATTATTTTAAAAAAGAAAAGGACCAGGTGCAGTGGCAAATGTCTGTAATCCTAGTGGCTCCAGGGGCTGAGGGAGGAGGATTGCAAGTTCAAAGCCAGTCTCAATAATTTAGTGAGGCCCTCAGCAATTTAGAAAGACCCTGTCTCTAAATAAAATATGGAAAAAGGGCTGGGGAGGGCTGGGGTTGTGGCTTAGTGGTAGGGCGCTGGCCTTGCACGTGTGTTTGACCCTCAGCACTACATAAAAATAAATAAATAAATAAATGTGTCTATCTACAACTTAAAAAATATTTTCAAAAAATGGGGTGGTAGGCTGGGGATGTGGCTCTGGGTTCAAGCTCTGTTTTTTTGCATGAAAATAGTCAAGTGAGACTGGAGCTATAGCTCTGTGATAGAGTACATGCTTGGCATATGTAAGATGCTGGTTAATGACCAGCATAAAAAACAAAACCAAAAACACCACACACACAAACAAAAAGCTCAAATGAAAATTAGAAAGAGCCAGCCTTAGACACTAAGTATGATTCTGTCTGAAAATTAAAAAATAAGGGATTCTGGTTTGGGGTTGTAGCTCAGTGGTAGAGCACTTGCCGAACACATGTAAGGTACTAGGTTCCATCCTCAGCACTACATAAAAATTAGTAAATAAGTAAGTAAATAAATAAATAAATAGTGTCCATCTTTATCTAAAATAATAATAATAAAATAAGAGCTGAGGACATAACTTAATGGTAGAATGATCCTGAGTCTGATCCCTAGTTCAAAAAGAAAAGTGTGTGTAGGGGGGGTATGAAAATCTATATATCTGCCACCCAGATTTAACAGTTGCTAATATTTTACCACACTTATTTCATTTCTCTTTCTCTAAGAAATTTTAAATACTTAAGTATGCACCTTCAAAAAAATAAGAACACTGTCCCACATAATCACAATACTATTGCAATTAATAATAACTTAAGCAATTAATAATAATTCTCTAAAACCATCTAATACTTCATATAAAAAAATGTTGCAATTATCCGTAAAAGATATTTTTACAGGGCTTCGGTTGTGGCTCAGTGGTAGAGTGCTCGCCTAGCATGTGCGAGGCCCTGGGTTCGATCCTCAGCACCACATAAAAATAAACAAATAAAAGCCTAATGTTAAAAAAAAAAAAAAAGTTGTTGTTTTTTTTTATACTTGATGTGTTCAAATCAGGGCTACTAATATCCAGTTTTACAAGTGAAGAAATAGAGGCACAGAGTCACAAAGTTAGAAATCAGAGCTAGAACCTGAAGGCAGATAATCTACCTCCAGAGCTTCCTTAGTAACAGTACACAGCACATGAAAGCAATGGCATCTGGTAGGGGTTTTTTTTTGTTTTGTTTTGTTTGTACTGGGAATTGAAACCAGGGGCACTTAACCACTGACCCTTTTTGGTATTTTATTTAGAGACAGGGTCTCCTGACTTGCTTAGGGTTTTGCTAAATTGCTGAGGCTGCCTTTGAAATTTTGATCTTCCTGCTGGGATTATGGCGCACTACCTAGCCACTCCCCACCATCTGCAACTGTCTTTCTCACCTCCTCTTCTCTTCCTCCCCCTCTCCTCTTCCCTCTGCCCAGTCCTATGCAGTATTGCCTCCCCTTTTCGTCCCAGTCCCCAGGGCACCTCTCATCTTTTCCCTTCCTGAGTCACAGTCTCAGTTGTTAAGAAATTCCCTCACCTAAAGCTGGTGCAAAGAAAATCTGAGGAGATGGGGGCAGCCGCTCCCACTGATATTCAGCTGCAGGCTTACTCCTTGGGGACTGGCAGCTCAGGGTCACGTTGTTCCCCACATGGGGCACACCCAGGAGGCGGCAGGATGGAGGAGCTGGAGGAACTGGGGAAGGAGACACTGGTTAAAGCCCACACCCAAGGGAGCCATGGATCCTCCCCACCCCCATACCCTTCTGTCTCTCCATTGGCCCCACCCCCAAACCTTATACTCAGCCACTTGGGAGAAAGACCTCCTCACCTCCCTGTGGGTGGGGAGAGATCTGGAAGTGTGTGTTTTTCACTCACCTAGCACTTTGAGCTCTAAGGTTTTGCTGCTGTGGCCCCTGCTTTTGCCTTGGCTGTCTTGCACATTCACAGAACAGCGGTAGGAACCAGAGTCTTTCTCCTGGAGGCCCTCCAGCCGCAGGGACACATTCCGGGAGGGCATGGAGTAGACCAGGGATGCTCTAGGTTTGCTTGACAAGACCCCATTGATGTAGGCCAATACCTAGGGGGCAGTTCACTTCCTGTTATTATTCCATGATGCATGTGCCCATGGGTCAGCCAGTTCCCCTCCCCCAAACTGGCCTTCTTCACATGCTGCTCCCCCACACTCATCCTTCTGACCTGTACCAGCTCCTATCCACCATCTCCCCAGCCACCCTCTCACTGCACCAGGTTCCTCGCCAGCACAGACTTTATTCCCCCTTGCATTGTCTCTTTATCTCCCATTTGGAGTGCTTTAGAAAGGTGGCTGAATGAGAGAAGGGAGTGGATAATGTAATAGGGAATTTGTAAAAGGAAACTTAAGACTGCAGAGTAGATCCAGGTTTTGTAGGGCCTGAA